ATCAAGTGTTCTGGAATTCCCATTCTTCTCAATGTTATCCATAATTTGTTATGATCTTCACAATTGAATGCTTTTGCATAGTCAATAAAACACAAGTAAACATCTTTCTGGTATTCTTTGCTTTCAGCCAAGATCCATCTGACATCAGCAATGATATCCCTAATTCCTTGTCCTCTTTTAAATCCAGCTTGCACTTTTGGAAGTTCTCTGTCAATTTAGTGCTGCAACTGTTTTTGATTTATCTTCAGCAAGATTTTACTTGTGTGTGATATTAATAATATTGTTAATTTTTACATTCTGTGGGACCACCTTTCCTCAGAATGAGTACAAATATGGATCTTTTCCAGTCAGTTGGCCAGGTAACTGTCTTCCAAATTTCTTGGCATAGATGAGTGACTGCCTATAGTGTGGTATCTGTTTGTTGAACATCTCAATGAGTATTCTGTCAATTCTTGGAGCCTTGTTTTTTGCCAATTCTTTCCGTTCAGCTTCAACTTCTTCCTTCAATACCATTGGTTCTTGATCATGTGCCACCTTCTGAAATGGATGAACACCAACCAATTCTTTTTGGTACAGTGACTCTGTGCAATCCTTCCATCTTCTTTTAATGTTTCCTGCATCATTCAATATTTTGCCTATAGAATCTTTAAGTATTGCAACTTGAGATTTGAATTTTTTCTTCAGTTCTTTCAGCTTGAGAAATGCCAAGTGTGTTCTTCCTTTTTGTTTTTCTAACTCCAGACCTTTGCACATTTCATTGTAATAATTGACTTTGTCTTCTCAAGCTGGTCTTTGAAATTTTCTGTTCAGCTCTTTTATCTTGTTATTTCTTCCATTCACTTTAGCTACTCTCAGTTCAAGGGGCAAGTTTTAGAGTTTCTTCTGACATCCATTTTGGTCTCTTCTTCCTTTCCTGTCTTTTTAATGATCTCTTGCTTTCTTCATGGATGATGTTCTTGATGCCATCCCACAATTCCTCTGCTTTTCGGTCATTTGTGTTCAATGCATCAAATCTATTCTTTAGCTAGTTTCTAAATTCAGGAAGGATATAATCAAGGTCATGTTTTGGCTTTTGTGCACTTGTTTTAATTGTCTTCAACTTCAACTTGAGCTTGCATATGAGCAACTGATGGTATGTCCCACAGTCAGCTCCCAGCCTTGTTTTGACTGAAGATATTGAGCTTTTCCATAGCCTTTTTGCAAAGATGTAGTCGATCCGATTCCTGTGTACTCCATCTGGCAAAGTCCACATGTATAGCCATCATTTGTGTTGTTGAAAAACGATACTTGGCAATGAATAAGTCGTTGGTCTTGCAAAATTCTATCATGCAATCTCCAGCTTTATTTCTTTCACCAAGGCTATATTTTCCAACTATTGGTGATTTGTCTTGTTTCCAACTTTTGCATTGTAGTCACCAGTGATAATCAACGCATCTTGATTGCATGTTTAGTCAATTTCAGGCTGGAGAAGTTGGTAAAAATCTTCAATTTCCTCATCTTTGGTTTTGGTGGTTGGTGCATAAATTTGAATACTAGTACTATTAACTGGTCTTCCTTGTAGGCGTACGGATATTATCCTGCATTGTACTTCAGGATAGATCTTAAAACATTGTTTGTGACGATGAATGTAATGTCATTGATGACTAGGTGGGACTATGCAAATGTGAGGTGCTTATGGCCCATTCAGGGGATTGGAGAGCTTGTTAATAATGTAAATAATTACATGGCGCCCTTGTGTGGGTGGAAACATACAAATAAGGTGTACAGAACCCTAATGTGGAGAGTGTTGTTTTGCCATCACACTCACTAGACTCAAAATGAGTCAACCCAGGGGCAGAGAGGGGAATCTCACTAATATCAAGAAATAAGAGCCAGAAGTAGAGTGCATCCTTTGGACCCAAGAGCCTTGTGCTAAATTTGCTTGACCTAAGAGGCAGAGAGCTGTGACACCAAAGATTGCAAGAAGCTGTGGCAGAGAAACAGTAACAGCAGAGGCAGCAGACCAACATAACCAAGAGACTGTCATAGACAGAGTGGTGGGCTTCGTGAAGTGAGAAAGTTGAGTGCCTCTAGGCAGGAGGCTTGCTGTTGGAGTGGGGTGTCTCTCTGGGTACTTATCAGCAGTGCTATAACAGCTCTGTAATATTTTCCAAGCAGGGAAGAGGATGAGACTGGAAAGAAGCATGCTTGTGGTACAGCTGAGAAGATATCCTGCTTGAAGGACTGTTTCTTCAGTTGTTTCTGATCCTGAATTGTAACCTGTTACTTCTCTAATAAACCCCATATTTGTCTGTGATCTCTGTGTGGCCACTGCAACAAATTATTAAATCCAGCAGAAAAGAGAGTGCCAAGGGAGGGATGATTGGTGTCAGAATTGGTAAAAAGAGTGGAGGGTGGCTGCATATCTGACCTCTGCCTCACAGATGTCAGCCTTGGGCTTTTCAGTTAGCATAATGTTCTCCAAGTTTATCCACATTATGAGGTGTTTCACTTACTAGAATCTTTATCATTATCCTTTAGTGTTGCATAATATTCCATTGTGTGTCTGTTCCATTGTTTGGTTATCCATTCTTCTGCTGATGGACACTTAGGTTGTTTCCATCTCTTTGCTATTGTGAATAGTGCTGTGATGAACATAGACGTATATATATATATATCTGCTTGTGGCCTGGCTCTCACTTCTTTAGGATATATACCTAGTAATGGGATTGCTGGATCAGCCTTGGACTTTTGACCTTGATCCTTTTTCCATCTTGTGAAGTTAGATGTAATCCCCATGCCCTTTTTGCAGTGTGTAAATAGAGATTAAAACTAAGTGCCTCTGATTCCATTCTTGTTGTTGTTAGGTGCCACTGAGTCATCTCCGACCATAGCGGCTTCATGTACTGCAGAACAAAACACTGCCTGGTGCTGCACCAGCCCCACGATCCTTCTATACCTGAGTCCATTATTGTACCACTGTGTCAGTCCATCTCTTTGAGGGCTTTCCCCTTTATTGTTGTCCCTCCATTTTGCCATGCATGATATTCTTCTCCAGGGACTGGTCCCTTCTTACAACATGTCAGAAGTAGGTGAGATGAAGTCTGGCCATTCTTGCTTCCATGAAACATTCTGGCTGCACTTCTTCCAGGATGGATTTGCTAGTTCTTTTAGCAGTCCGTGGTACTTTCAGCATTCTTCACCAACACCACAACTCAAAAGCATAAACACTTATTCAGTCTTCCTTTATCATTGTCCAGCTCTCACATGCATATGAGGTGATTGAAAATACCATGGTGTGTGTCAAGCGCACCTTAGTCTTCAAGGAAACATTTTTGCTCTTCAGCACTTGAAAGAGGTCCTTTGCAGAAGATTTGCCCAATGCTATGACATCTGATATCCTGGCTGCTGCTTCCATTGGTGTTGATGTAGAACCAAGTAATATGAAGTCTTTGACAACTTCAATCTTTTCTTCATTTATCATGATGCCACTTATTGGTCCCATTGTGAGGATTTTCATTTTCTTTATATTGAGGTGTAATCCATACTGCCAACTGTAGTCTTCAATCTTCATAAGTAAGTGTTTCAAGTCATCCTCACTTTCCGCAAGCAAAGTTCTGTCGTCTGCATAATGTAGGTTGTTAATGAGTCTTCCTCCAATCCTGATGCCATGTTCTTCTTTATATAGTCCAGCTTCTCAGATTATTTGTTCAGCATACAAATTGAATAAGTATGGTGAAAGGATACCACCCTGCCACACTTCCTTCTTGATTTTAAACCATGAAGTATCCCCTTGTTCTGTTTGAATGATAGCCTCCTGGTCTATGTACAAGTTCCTCATGAGCACAATCAAGTGTTCTGGAACTCCCATTCTTCTCCATGTTATCCACAATTTGTTACATTCTGCCCAATTGAATGCTTTTGCATAGTCAATAAAACACAAGTAAACATCTTTCTGCTATTCTTTGCTTTGAACCAAGATCCAACTGACATCAGCAATGATATCCCTCATTCCACATCCTCTTCTGAATCCAGCTTGCATTTCTGCAACTTTTCTGTCAATGTACTGCTGCAACTGTTTTTGAATTATCTTCAGTAAGAGTTTACTTGCATGTGGTATTAATGATATAGTTCAATAATTTCCACATTCACACTGCAGTGACAGAGTTGATACAACAGAAACCATACAGTTTACAAAGTTTAAATATTTATTATGTGACTCTTTACAGAAAAAATTTCCTGACTCTTGGTAGAGTAGTGATTTTCTATCATGCATCAGAATTACATGGACAGCCTATTCAAATACAGATTGCAGAGCCCCACCCCCTGATTCAGTAGGCCTGGGGTAGGAATGAGAGTATGTATTTCAAAGTGATTTTACTGATGCTGCTTGCTGAGGAACAGACCCTACTCAATCTTAGATCAGCTGTAGTGAACAAGGCCTCAAGAAGTAGACCTTAGTGCTTATCATACCCTCCTCCTCCCTTTGGTCATGTGACCTTGGAAAAGATAAAGGTTCTATCAAGAAAAATAAGGATTAAGGGGTAAGAATAAGAAGAAAATAGAAAGAATAAGGACATATAGATATCATAAGATGGAAAAGCAGGGACCAGGGAGTAAGAGAGTAAGAAGGACAGAAAGTTACAAAATTATGTTAGAATTTGTTTTTAAATCACAAAGAAACTGATTTACAATGGAAACAAAGAAAACAGTAGATTCAAATTTCAGGCAGATAGCACTCCTTTCTGGGTATTTAATCAGTTGGAGTAAGGGATGAGAAATGATAGACACAAATATTTTGATGTGCTGTACACTTAAAAATTTTATGTCTTATTTGTTTTCTCATTCTTTAAATAAGTGAAATGAAATGACAGGAAATACTTTTCATAATCATTCACTGTAAAACAATAATCATAGTCTGAAATAATATAACATTTGATTTTGATGTAATGGCTGCAATGACTGAAATGAAGACTAATATACAGTTTCAACTATTGATTTTTATAGCTCAAAATTGATACCTTTAGCATGATCCTCTTCATCACAGTCTCAGAACTTTTGTATTTCAAATCATGCTGCAGTAATACAGTTTGCAAACCAAGCTTTCCTCTTAACCGAATAATATGTAGTATCGCATCATCATCCTTTGGTTCTGATTTACAACATTAAAAAAAAAAAAGATCCAATATAAGTGCACATGGGCATCATTTAAAAATGATGGATTGTTGTTATGTGCCGTCGAGTCAAACCCAACTCATAGCGACCCCTCCTTGGGTTTCCGAGGCAGTATCACTACGGAAGTAGGATTGCCCAACCTTCCTTCCGAGGAGTGGCTGGTGGGTTTGAACCATCAGCTGTCTGGTTAGCAGGCAAGTATCTTAGCCACTATGCTACCAGAGCTCCTAGCTCCCAAAAATGATGGATAGTACTCAAAATATTTCTACAAAGAGAAAAAATTACACAAAAACTATAATTAGAGGAGAAAATATGGCTTAAAATTCAATTTTAACAGAAGCTGGACAAGGGAACAATATTTTACCGTTTAGGAAGGATGTCAGAAAGACCTAATCTCACAGTTATATGGATAATTAGTAAGAGAGGAGAATAGGAACAAAAGCCAGTTATAAGGTTTTCTTAATAAAGATCTAACCTGGGGTGGTGGCAATAGAATCAGAAGAGAAGGAATAACTAACTATGTGCACTATGTGTAATGGAAATATTCTTTCTAAGGATACTTATCCTTTTAGACCTATCTTTTTTAGTCTCTTAACAACTAATGATTCTCTCCCTCTTGAAACATTCTTTTCTCTTGGCTTTTATTCATCATGTCTACAGACTGTCCCCTTACCTCTCAAACTTCTTTTCTTGGTAAAGCAAATTGTGAAAGAAAGAAACAAAGAAAAAGTCATGCCAGCAGAACCAGCAATCCTGAAGTCATTCTAGATTTGTAGCTGCTGAGATCATAAACACAATCTGACCCAACAGCTTCTTTACTAAGAATAAATGAGACTGGAGCTATTGTTGTTTAAATAGTGGTAGCACATGGTTTAGGCTCTTGAACAACCATGAATCATACAAGTTTTGCTCCATTGGTATCTCGCTTGCCTCATTGTAGTTCTGGCACTGTCAGTTGCTTAAACATGGAAATAAATTTAAAATACTGAAATGTAAAGACATATAGCTAACCTGAGATACGAAAGGGACAAGATAAAGTATGGTTAATTAGTATAAAGATGTGAAACAAACATATATATCCAGTGAGAGGATAAATGAGAGGATAAATAATATTATAGACAAAGATATAAAAAACATAGCATATACCAAAATATATTTTTTAACAATTCTAACAGAATTAAAAAGACAAATAGACAGTTCTACAATAATAGTAAGAGGCTGTAACACACCACTTTTGATATTGGACAGCATACCTAGAAAGAAACTCAACAAAGATAAAGAAGATCTAAATAACACAATCAACCTTGACCTCAGAGACATATACAAAACACACCACCAAACAGCAGCAAGGTACACATTCTCCAATGCACAAAGATCATTCTCCAGATTAGACCATTTTTTAGGCCACAAAGCAAGCCTCCATAAATTAAAAAATGTGAAAATAATACAAAGCATCTTCTTTGATTATAAAACTAGAAATCAATAACAGAAATAATGAGGAAAAAAAATAAATGCATGGAAACTAAATATCATACTTAAAAACTACTAGATAATAGAAGTACCTTAAAATGAATTTTTTAAATTCTTAGAATCAAATGAAAATGAACACACCAAAATTTTTGCAACACAGCAAAAGCACTTTCAGAGGACAATTGTAGCAATACATGCACACATAAAAAAGAATAAATAACCAAAATCAACACCTTAACCAAACATCTCCAGAAATTAGAGAAAGAATAGCAAAAAAAAAAAAAGCCTACAGTCACCAGAAGAAAGGAAATCATAAAGATGTGAGCAGAAATAAATGAAATAGAAAACAGAAAAACAATAGAAGTATCAACAAGACTAGAAGATGGTTCTTTGAAAGGATTGATAAAATTGACAAACTATTCACCAAACTGACACAGGAAACAAAAATGAAAAATGCAAATAACCAAAATTAGAAATGAAATGGTTCACATTACAATAGAACCAACTGAGATAAAAAGGATCATAACAAAATATTATGAAAAACTGTACTCAAACAAATTTGAAAACATAGAAGAAATGGACAAATTTCTAGAAAAACATACCTACCTAAACTAACATAAATAGAGGTAGAAAATTTGAACAGACTGTAACAAAAGAAGAATTTGAACAGGTCATTAAAAATGCCCAACAACACAGGGGGGCAAGATGGCGGACTAGGCAGAAGGATTGTACAGACTCTCTTCAACAAAGAAAAGGGAAACCAATTAACACAGACACAGAAGATAATCTTGGACCCTTGAGCCTTGAAGGAAAGGATGCAGATTTGGACTAAACCCCAACTAGCAGAAGAATTTGCGTGAAAATACCAAAAAAAAG